ACTCACGAACTCAATTAGTGGAGATTGTTGCAATCAAAGTATAAAATGAAGTATCAGCTTTAAGTTACGTTTTCCTAGAAATATAGTTTACTCGAAGTTAGTGTTTTTGAACAAGGTAAAATTCGATAATGCACCAAAAAATTGTTGGATTGACTGAAACCAAACCTGTTAATTAGTTGTAGATTTTCCCTACAACCACTAAATGCTTCACTAAGTGATCTGACTTACGAATATTTTCCAGGGTTCAGACACACAGAATGAAGAAATGTTACGTGTTATAAGGGAGCGTGGAAACATAGCTCTGAAGTCTTCAAGAATACGTAGCCTCTACATCATCAGATTTGTCGTATGTGGCAAAGATACGGAAAGTGAAGATATACTGTTTGCTTGGAGAGAAATCTGTCTGGCTGCAAACAAAATTCTGAATTCAAAAGATGAAGCTGACTTACGTGAACAGTTCTAGTCTTACTCAGGAATGAACTTAAAAAAAAACTCTGTTACAGTTTTCGGTCAACCTGCCTTTAAATAAAGTACGTGGATCAAATATTCTCTGATGTATTTAAATATTTCTAAATATTCGTAATGAAAGAATTTCTTTCCTGTGTTAATGTAGAACCTACTTTTAGTGATCAACAATCGAAGACCTCTGTAACTAAAAAAAACTAATCTCCTATATATTCACCTGCACAATCAGGAACTTCCTATAAATAGGGCCAATATTTTCAGGTGTGACTATAACTAAGTCTTTCGAAACGTCGTCCTCTATACTTGCGTTTCTACAACAGGCAGTTGCTGTCCATTCAACAAAGTTTATCATGTATACTGATCATTTTTTCCACCAATTTGCATTGGCTATAAAAAAAATTATCTCATTCATGAGCATCAACCAAATATTTTCAGATGGACAATATTTCAGTCTGAAAGAAAAGTTAAGTTCAACTAATTAAAATCTTTCAGAGAAAAAAATAAACATTTTGGTTTTGTACCAGTTTGTGTTGTCTTTTTGTTGGTTAATACAACAACAACACCAAACATAACAAAAACATTTTAATACACTAATTTTATTACATATTTCCATTAATGTATCCCCTAATTTGCTGTATAAGTGTATTTTCGGACATTTTACTGCGATCTGGTCTTTGAACATAAAGAGCACTGTACTGTTGCACTTCCAGCCGAAATGCACAGTAGAATTAATGCTGTTGCTGGGCATTTGCTGTGAGTTCTGAATCATATGGAGAGGCTTCTGCTACGTATTTACTGAATTCTGAGGGTAAAACATTTACTTCTAGTTGTCAAACTCATGACCCCGAATTGACTTTATGAAATGATCCAGCACTCTTGCTTGCATCCATGGCTTCTTCACAGTGGTAGATGCAATCCTTTCGGTTGATTCTTCCCATCTTTAACTCAGGGCTACACAGAATTCATTAATGGATTGCCTTACATAAGCAACATCTTTAGGTGACAGTATTCCTAAAATTATACTATACTTCTCTTTTGGTACAATCTTTGTGCCATGTTCCAAGCAAATGGAAAGATTTACTTCCACTTAGGCCCACCATCCCTGTTTCCACACACACAAAAAACCAGAAATTATTTCATCCAGTCAACAGATACTCTGCGTTTTCTGTCTAGTTTGAATAACTGTATTTAGTATTATTAAGGAAATTATTATTCAGAAATCAAGATATTCTTTGTTAATGCCAACTTCGGCATTACTACACACTGAACCATTGACTACCTGTCTTCACCTTTTTCTTTTCTCTTAGTCTTTCAAATGTATCTCTGCTATTTTTTTCAATCTCTTACTGTTGTTTCTTTCCCTCAGTATTTCCAACGTCTCTGTGCTTATATTTTCTCTCTATCTCCTATTATTTTCTCTCATTTCTCTGTTCCAATCCAACTTTTATTATTTTGTAGTGGAGTTGCATACATTAACTACATTATAGAACAAACGCAAAACTAATACTTTTCACTCCATGCCGTCTTACAGGTAGAAAGATTGACTGTGGTATATATATATATATATATATATATATATATATAT